CTACTTGTAAACATTATTGGGTTTACTTTCTACCAGCTCCTGCTACCTGACTGTTATCAATCCTGCACTGAAAATGCCACATCGAACGGTGGCGAAACGTCTGGAATCAAGTGGCCCAGCTCGGAGAAGTCCACAACAACTGAATAAGTCTCCCGAGTTATCTATTCCAAATCATTTGGAAAACATGTAAACATTTTGACACAAATGAATTTTTATTCTAATGTCCTAGATGACCGCTTTCTTCCGCGGCTTAATGCCCTCCCACAAAGATCAACTGTCGCATGTACGCGTTGTCGCACTTCTTCGTATGGTAAAGCAAGCGTACCTTTATGGTCATCTTTTCTTATCAACACAACTAATGTCACAAATGCTTTGTGCACGCGACTCCTAGAATGACATTTACATACCTTGTTATAACTAATTCTTCAATTTGTATTTATATGTTCTTAAGTAGTCTTATTGCTCAGTTTATCTGTGAAAGTGTAAATAACTTAAAATTCCCATTTAAGTCGCGAGAACAAAAGAGCATCTGGTGGGCACTTGCCTTCAATGATTCACCATCAGACCATTAAAATCATATGGAGGCTAAAAATAAAAATCGACCCAGTTAGTTCAAAACGAATAGATCACGTGAAGGTCTATGTCAGAGTTGAGAAAACGAATTAGGTCTTAGAGGGCTAGTTGTTTTCTACCGCGTCTGACCGAAGGCAGTCGACCTGGACGTCTTCCGTCTTTGCTGGCCAGGGAAGTTGGAGAGCCTGGACCAGCTTCTTCTGCGAGCATAAGGACGGCTGGAACAATCGAATGCATATTGCTTCAGCTGTCGCAAGTGTACGAAGGCGGTAACCTTTCGTTCTGTGCGGCGGAACCTCGTAAACTATTTGGAAAGCGCTTTTCCAATCCACCTCATGGCCGGTGTCCACAATGTGGGCCAGAATGGCGCTACTAATGGTCCCGGAATCCCCTTCACGCAGCCAACGAGGGCAAGGTTCGTTCAAGTGTTTGATAACTGCTGCGCCGTTCGAGCAATATACGTTGCGCCACAGGAGTACACGAATTGAGAAATTACCATTGAGTTGGTCGGCATCGGCATCTTGTCCTTATTTTGTGAACGAATGAGTGGTTCCCTTGAAAACACTCACTTCAACGAGGCTGCTGGGAATGTCGACTTTATCGTGGCCGAAAGGCTTCTGGCTAGACGCTCGTTAGCAGCGTCCCCTTTGAATGGTAAATGAATAAATAGCTCTTTCTTCGCTGCTGTTAACACTGGTATTGGTGTGGCTTTTCTCTGGAAGTTCCTCAAGATAAATCTATCGGGATAGCTGTTTTCACGTAGAGTATTCTGTATGAACATTAACTCCGCGTCTAGGGTGTCTTCCGTACAGATTCGACGTGCTCTTGAGGTAAGACAGTGAACCAAGTTGCGCTTGTATCTCATAGGAACGAAACTGTGAAAGTTCGTGTACTGACCTATCCACGTTGTTTTTCTGTAGACCTGACGCTGGATGGATCCGTCTGGTCTCCTAGTTAACAAGACATCGAGATATGGTAGCCGATTATCGCTTTCCTTCTCGTAAGTAAACTGCACTGTTGCATGCACTCGGTTGAAGTGGTCAAGAATTTCATCCAGATTAACATGTTTATCCACCACAACAAATATATCGTCCATGTATCGATGGTAGCGGTCAAAAAGTTCTATCGCCGCCCGCATTTCGGTTCTCTCTAGCTTTGCCATGAAGATATCCGCTAATAGCGGTCCGAGGGGGATCCCATGGCCACGCCGTCCTTCTGCCGGTAGTATTTCCCGTTGAATAGAAACTGCACATTCCAGGTGCAGCGTAACAGTAGTCCTTTGAGCTCACGCGTAGGTATACACACTTTTATTCCTGACTCGGCTATATAGTCGCAAATGTAATCGATCATCTCAACCAGTGGGACGTTTGTAAAAAGAGAGACGACATCGAAAGAGAGCATTACTTTCTCATTGATTTTATCATCCTTGATGCTTTCGACGAAATGGAAGCTGTCACGAAGGCTGTAGGTAGCGAGCTGTTGTCGCACAGGTTCAAGAAGCTCTACAAGCCACTGAGCGACGGCATGGTACGGTGAGTAGACGATTGATAAACTAGGACGAAGTTGGGATGTTGGCTTTGTGGATTTTGCTAACCCGTAAAGTCTTGGGACGCTTGCGCCACTCGGTTTAAGGCTGTCATACAGAACATCTGAAATGTACCTCTTGGCCCGAAGTTCTTGCAAGCTTTTGGTTAGCTGTGTTGCAACTTGCAGACAAACTTTGTCTCATCGCTCAGTATTGCTGCTAGTTTATCTATGTAATCTTTTCTATCGAGTAACACGATTCCAACACCTTTGTCCGGTCTGCACAGGACGATTTCCTCATTGCGCTTTAGTTCCTTCAGCGCATCTAGGTGCCTTCTTGTTAGCGGGCCATGATTACGGACGCGGTGTTTGCGATACTGGTAGCAACAATTCACCAAGTAGCACTTGAAACGTTCAAGATCCGTGTTCGATTTAGCGACTAACCCTTTCGTCTGATCATATAAGCTTTCAAATTGTAACTCATAATCGAGCTGGTTATCCCTGCGTCTAGGAGCGCAAAACTTTAAGCCAAGCGATAGAACTTCCATCAAAGTTGCGTCCATGTTCAAACTAGATAAGTTGTGTACATACCCGTCTGGCTTTTGCAAACGTAGCTTGCGGCTTAAGCTGGCTTAAAGACTTTGCTAAAGAAGACCGCCTCCGCTGTACACGGTTGCTAGTGATAGACTGAACATAGTCCAGAAACATTTTCTTTTCTTCAGCAGCTAATTCATCCGTTGCTGTGTGGCGTTGTGCTAGATTTCTTTCGTATTCAGCAATCTTGGACTGCACTGTATCACGTTGGTTTAATGCATGTCGTCTAAGGGTCTTGCTATTGGGATAGATCCGATCACGGCGTAACTGCTTCCAAAATCTGGTCGGATATTCATTATGCTCTATGCAATCATTGAGGAACTGAACACAACATTTGGCTTCAGCAAGCCCTCTTTGGCTGCATCAAGGGGGCGCCGGAACCATTAGTAGCGCCATTCTGGCCCACATTGTGGACACCGGCCATGAGGTGGATTGAAAAAGCGCTTTCCTAATAGTTTACGAGATTCCGCCGCACGGAATGAAAGGTTACCGCCTTCGTACACTTGCGACAGCTGAAGCAATATGCATTCGATTGTTCCACCCGTTTTTATGCTCACAGAAGAAGCAGGTCCAGGCTCTCCAACTTCCCTAGCCAGCAAAGAGGGAAGACGCCTAGGTCGACTGCCTTCGGTCAGACGCGGTAGCAAAACAACTAGCCCTCTAAGACCTAATTCGTTTTCTCAACTCTGACATAGACCTTCACGTGATCTATTACTTTTGAACTAACAGGGTCGATTCTTATTTTTAACTTCCATGTGATTTTAATGGTCTGATTATGAATCGTTGAAAGCAATCGCTCACCAGAAAGTGTAAATACTTAGTATACACCCACTTCGGTGCATAACGGCTATTTTGACTTAACTTGGTGTTTGTTTCAACCTCAAGACTGCAATGCATTCACGGGGCCTGCATTCGCCATCCAATGGCGATCATATGCTCAAATATGCAGACACTTGCTTTAAGAATACCTGTGGATTCCACACGGAGGTTGCCCTGATAATTTTACTCAGCTTGGTGGCAAAACATGCAATCAAACTACACAGCTCCTGGAAGATACGAACACCTTCATATGCTCACTATTTCTCACACTTACACATGTGCGACAATTAACAAACGGAGTCAGTGCTTACTGTACGACCGAGCCAACGCAACCCTAGTGGGTGTCCTAGTAATTTCCCCTACAATTACGGGAACATATAGGTTCATTTTAGCGTCATTTACTTGATTCCCTCCACATTGCATGTAATGGTATGCATAGCCGTGATATTACTAATAACCGCATACTACATGATTGCTAAACACCCCCCAATTTCTTGTGAAGATTCTTCGCAGTTATACCCAGACAGACAGCCACCGCACATTCAGGGGAGCGCTAGACCGAAGCTTCTCCTTACTGGGACTCGTCAGTTGCGAGCACTTGCCAAATCCTGCCGCATTCGAACCCACTAACTTACTCTTTCGAGCCACTTCGATCGCTCTGCACCGCAAGTTAGTCGCGGTTCAACAGATATGTCGCATTTTATAGTGTATACTAGTTAGATATGTTAGTGACTGATTTTGGATCGGTCACAACGAACAGTACGCATTTATGTGCATGTGTACACCACCAGATGTAATTTTATTGCTTGGTAAGCCACCTATGGGAAAAGTGAGCTCCTTAAGAAAGAACTCGATTGTACTATGGATGCAATTGACTGGAAAATAGTGTAGAATCGCCAGCATCCGCAAGTGAGCAGTTTGCGTACTCTTGCTAAGAATCATTGCTGGTTTCCCTCAACATAACCAGGTTACATCTAGCACAAAGTTCTTGAAACCCTTAGAATACCATCAGGAAACTCTTAGGTTAACGGAATAATTGTACACAGGCTGTCGGGTAGCAGCGACCATGCACCTTTACTGTTCGGTTCCATCTGCTGGAACTGACCTTCATCATGACTGAGGTCAGTCAGATGCCCATCAAGGTCCTATCTCTAGAGATTAGTCAGTCAAGTAGGGAGTCAATGTGGCCGTATGACACACGTGTTCTAAGTTTACTGACCCAGACGTTTAGTCAGCTTGGCTGGATGTCACAAGTGCACCCACTCAATAAATGATCTCTCAACCGATGTCAAGCATATCTGTGTCGTAACCGCTTACGAGTCATTTGAAATACCGAGTCCCCTTTAGTCACTTCATCAAGGCAAAGAGAAAAGAGTTGCGATATGTTAACATTTCGATTGATCTGTTCAACCGTACCACTTATAACGCGGGCCGACATACGGAGCTCGCATTTTCTTTAAAGCAAACACGTGCCGACTTGTCCATCTTACCTTTCTATAAGCAGGTGCTGCGTGCCATGCCTGAGTCGAAGTTCCTCAGCCGTTGAGCAGAGCTCTTTCACTGGTTTCAAGCTGGAACAGCACTACAGACGACTCGGATCTTCCGCGGTCACCAACGCGTCATAGCAGGCCATGCAAACAACCCCGGCGACAGTCCGTTGTTTGGCCGAACTGCGACAAGGAAGCATATGAACAGAACGATTAGACGCAAATAAACACAAGTTGGTGCGCAGATCTCTAGTACCAATTTTAGGACGTTGGGCATATATGGTAACCTTCGCCTCCGAATTTATCTGTCTTGATGCCTGTGGACAGCCTCAGTCCCGCGCATCCTAGTTAAACGTATGTGATCTAAATACCTGGGCTCTGGGTATCCAGTTATACCATCACTCGCTCCTCCGGTTTGATTATTAATCACGACGATAAGCAACATGATTTGAATGGTAAATTTTATGAGCAATGTTAAGGTAAGAAAATAAGCATGTAGAATTAATTTGGCTGAAAGTTTACCAGCTGAATGTAACAGACTGAAAGTAGATGTGACAGTACCAGTTTCGCTGAGTTTTCTAACGCTAGCTGTCACTGATCGACACCCATTCTCGAAGCAGACATGATTCAACTAGCTCAAAGCTCTCAGTTAATTCCTTCATACTTCTCTTCCGCATCGTGGTGGCCATCTCTCGGTTTCGAGCAAGCAATTGTAGTGAATGCAATCAATGTACTATAAACATTGCCTGAATAGCACAAGCACCTTGTATACAGGGGATACTCTATCTGGGCACCAAACTATCTGATTCCAAGCACCAACTGAAGGTTGTCAGTATTGTATAATCTATACATCCGCAGTTCTAGCAAGATAACCATAAGTGCAAGCAGCCGTTCATCTCAGCGTAGTAAAAATCCTAACACTTATTATGATAGTACCAAAGTTCGCGTATGTCCATTGATCATTTTAGTGCAAAAGTTGATCGATGATGAACGCAGTTTTACCGATCAAATTAGACAGCTGAGCCAATTTTTGGACAAAGCTACTTCTGCTCACAACATGCCTCAGCCAGGGGTACGATTACGCATGCATCGGTTATCAATGGCGAACAGTTTTTGCTGTCCTCAGAGACTAGTGAACATCTTTCTGACCCGTGCACTGACCGGAGGTTTCACGGCATAATACATGTTGCTGCTGCTGCTGCTGCTGACTGCTGGACAACCACAGTACCGGCAACTGGACCATAGATTATCAGCACTGCAGCAGTTGCAGTTTCCCTCACGTACGCCATATCGCTGAGATGGCTTTACCTCCCCGTTTAATCCTCCATCCCGTCTAGGTCAGCGGCTCTAACACTTTTTGGACCACGGACGCCTTTTTAATGGAGACGGGCTCAACGGATCCCATGGGCTATTGTTATCCCCGGGACTAGACTACCATAAAAGAAGGAAGCGGAGTGTACTAAAAATGGGCGTTACTGTACACGGAACTAAAACGGGTGTTTAGTTAGTAAAACCATTACCGATGTTGAATGTAGGCATAAAAAACAAAGTAGATCAATCCATAATTTGACGGATGAAACGGCTTCTGACCTGCCATGCTGACTTCTTTGACGTTCAGAGTTCCTGAGTAGAATTGCAAAATCGCTAGCTTCCGGGTCATATGATGTCATTGGTATCACCGAGACGTGCTTGAACACGAGGATGATGGACGGGACGACAGGCTCACGAAAGAAGGAGGGGTAATCCTGTATTACCGAAGTGACTTACAGTGCGAAGCTGTGGAGGATTCAGACTCGCAGTTCCCCGACTCTCTTTGGTGCCGTTTGCAGTTGAAAGGCAGGGAAGCTTACCTTATTGTCCTGGAGTACCGCCCCCCTTAACTCTACAACCAAAACGACTACCACCTAGCGGCTGATTAAGATGCAGTTTACAACAAAAGTATACCAACATGGGTGATTTTAACGTGCATGGTGTAGAAATCACTGCCACGATCGGAGAAAAATTCAAAGCCGATCTACAAGATTTCGCAACCACTGTTCCTCTTTACAATCACATAAGTGAGCAAATATCCCAGGTGTAGACATCAGAACAAGAGTCACGGGACAAGCTGGTTTTCGGTGGATCTTGTCAGGCTGGTACACCACAACTAATAAGAATGAGTTAAAACATCAGAGGGGAGTAAAGTTCAAAGGGCCAAATTAAGGTCTAGGTCATCTAAATGACAAGGTCAAGTGCTTGATTCACAAACGGTCAGTGATCTGTCAGTTGCATGTTTCTCAGCAGGGGTTGATGTAATACGGGGCCAGGGAAGACAGAAAGAATCTGAACGAATTGTTTTCGTGTACATAGGTCAGGGTTCTGGAGACGGATGACGATTGCTTCGAATGTTGCCAATAGGCGACATCTTACTGCTCGTGTGTAGCATCCAGATACGCGGTAAATTGGTTGAAAAGTTTGGTGCCTTTCGATCTGGTGGTTAAAATCAACTAGATGTGCAAACACGACGCTTGTCATCATCATCATCATCATCATCATCATCATCATCATCATCATCATCAGCATCAGCATCAGCATCAGCATCAGCATCATCATCATCATCATCATCATCATCATCATCATCATCATCATCATCATCATCATCATCATCATCATCATCATCATCATCATCATCATCATCATCATCATCATCATCATCATCAGCATCAGCATCAGCATCAGCATCAGCATCAGCATCAGCATCAGCATCAGCATCATCATCATCATCATCATCATCATCATCATCATCATCATCATCATCATCATCATCATCATCATCATCATCATCATCATCATCATCATCATCATCATCATCATCATCATCATCATCATCATCATCATCATCATCATCATCATCATCATCATCATCATCATCATCATCATCATCATCATCATCATCATCATCATCATTATACACGTCAGCTAGAGGTGGGAAAACACCTCCGCTATTGTGCCGCAATACACGAAGGAAATACATACATACATATAATACAATACACAAAGGCAAAATACATACAACAGTTGCATGCCAGCTGAGCTACCAGCAACGGATGGGCATCGTTCCGGTAATCTACCAGCCAGCTACTAGGTAAAAAGAAAAAATTATTATGTTTTACCCCACGAAATGAGATCCTAGATGGAGTGGGAGACTAAAAGGGATGGGGAGGGACAAAGAAACTCACAGCACAAACGCCAGTGAGGTCGGCTCCTTGCCATGTCAGCAAGTGTATCCAGCCAAACGTGTTCACTGTCTTTTGAACCCCAATCAGTGAGTCGTGACGCTCCAACCGAGGCTAGCTCCGAAGTGAGGGACTTCATTCCTCTGGACCAAGTCATCGCTTGGCCACCTCTCTTCTTCTTCCACCCACATCCCCGGTGAGCAAACAACGCACGTCGCGGGAGTCGGTGGGCTGGCATGCGTAACACGTGGCCGAGCCATCGGAGCCTGGTGCGGGAAATAACGGTGATGAGTGGTTCAGATCCTTTTCCTGGGCCGTAAACAATGCGTCGAACACGCTCGTTACTCACCCGGTGTTCCCACCAGATGTGAGCGAAACTGCGAAGGCACCGATGGTCGAACGTAACTAGCCTCTTCATGTCCGCCGATCTTATGGGCCAGGTTTCGTAACCGTACAGTAGGGTCGAACGTACTGCTACATTGTACACTCTACCCTTTAGGGCGAGAGTGATGTGGCGCCGCCGCCAAAGGTGGCGAAGGTTAGCAAAAGCACTTCGAACTTTTGCTATACGGTTCGTGATATCGTCTTCGATCCCAATGGTGCTGATACAACTTCCCAGGTAATTGAATTTCTGAACGACTTCTAGCTGATCCCCACCAAGGGTCAGCGCAGAAGGCGATCCCTGCCAATCTTGGAGGAGCGCTTTGCACTTCGATGGTGCAAAGCAAAGCCCGAAGCGGCTGACGGCCAGTGCTAATCTGTCCAGCGCGGCTTGGCACGTCTGGGAGCTGTCACAGATGAGGGCAATGTCGTCTGCATACTCCAAGTCAATAAGTCGTTCTCCTGGGAGTAGCTCCACACCTTCCAAGTCATGTCCTGTAAATGCAATCTCCATGACTTCGTCAATAGCGAAGTTGAAGTGGAAAGGTGACAGCGGGCATCCTTGTCTCACACCGCTGGAGATACTGAAGGGTGGCGACAGCTTGCCGTAAGCCCTTACTCTGCCCGTGCTACGCGCATATAATGCTTGGATAATATTTACATATTTCTCGGGCACACCTTTCCTGAGTAAACAATTCCAAGGGCACATCGATCAACCGAATCGAAGGCACCTTTGATGTCGAGGAACACGACTACGGCGGACCGCCAATATGTGTGACGATGCTCCAGCAACTGACTCAAGGCGAAGATGTGGTCGATGCAACCACGACCACGACGAAACGTGGCTTGCTCCTCACGAATCTGGCTTTCACGAGCGCCAGTCATTCTGTGAAGAATTATGGAGGCGAGTAATTTGGAGGCGATGGACATCAGACTGATTCCTCTACGGTTGCCGCATTCCGAGCGCGAGCCGCCTTTGAAGTTGGGAACAATAACGGAGCGGCTGCAGTCGGTTGGGACAGTCTCCTGCTCCCACAGTTTCACTACTAATTCATGTAAAGCATCAAAAAGAGCTGAGCCTCCGAATTTGAAGAGCGCTGGAGGAATATCATCTGGCCCCGCGGCTTTGTTCAACTTCAACAGTCCAATCTCACGTTTGACTTCTGAGCAAGAGAGTGGATCCAAAGGGACAGCCCATGGAGCAGGGCGATCACTGGCCGACGAAGAATCGAACAATTCTAGCCGAATAAATTGCTTTTCAAAATGCTCAGCCCAACGCTCCAAACGTTTTGACAAATTGTGGATAGGCTGTCCACTCTCATCACAAATTGTTTCACTAACACCAGGTCTTCTGCTGCCCGTTTCCCGTATCAGACGGAATAACTTACGATGGGTGCCAAGGGCAGCTGCCACTTCCATCTCTGACGCATGATGAGACCACCAAGCTTCGCGGGCTGTCTTCAGGCTAGCGCGGAGTCTTGCCCGGAGCTCTTTGCGAGTTTCACTGTGCTCGCTTCAGGCCGGAAATGCCGGTTAGCGT